GCTCTTCCCAACTGAATGCTTTTGCAAATAGAAGGGAAAAAAATGGGTAATTAGAGCTCAGCTGCATTTTTCAAACCTCTGAAAAATCATTTTTACAGTCGCTAAGCTTAGACTGGGTATCTTAATGTCTATCCAGATGACAGGCAGTAAGTACCACTGACAACTGGACAACTTTTAAAAAAACCAAACCCTTGGAAAACTGTATTCTCAGTTCAAGCTAACGGAATATTTTGCTTGCTCCAGGAAGGGCTCGGGCTGCAAACACACGCTGCGGAACTGTTAGACCTGAGACTGGCTTCAGTGGACGCTGAAGGAAGTCACTGCAATTAGATGAACTAGGGAATTAAGGAACTACTTAGAGCAAATGCTCAAAATATAAAAGTAATGGCTTAGTGAAAGCAACAAGCCTGATTCAGAGCAAACGTCAGCCGACTGAATGCATATGCTTGTGCTGAAGCAGTACCTCCCCTTCTCACAGGGGCCGGTGGCGGGCTGTAAATCATTTTTATGCCGTAGTGCCTGCGTTGAACATTAAAGCAGGCTCGATTGCTCAACAGAAAACCATGGGCATTATTCTGTCATGCTTACAAATTTCAGAGGTGAAAATGACTCCTACTTGTGCTCCTTTCAAGGCCTGCAATAAAACGATTGTTTTATATTTAGTAACTAATTAGCCTGAGCTTTTGCTGTAGAGAAAACAAAACACAGGAATGTAGCAAGCTAAGAGCTTGTTGAACACAGTTTTATTTAAAAACAAACCAAAGCCCAGTCTTTATATTGGTTACATGCATGTGTCTACTATTGCATAAGATGATGCTCCTCTCATTTTTCAGGGGAGAATTAGCATCGAGTAGTCGGCATGTGAATTATGCCAAATGCTAATGGGGAGAACCACCTTCTCTTCTTACAGGTCCCAAGCCAAAGAATTGTCCTGAAGTGGCGGTGTAGGAACTGGCCCGACGGTGAGTCTTTTTGAGCCCTCTAGTAGAGGCTACACATTGCAGTGCAAGCTCGCTTAGAGGACAGCCTGGCATCCAGAGCAGTTGTCATCTGCGAAAACAGGTGTCACTCAGACACAGGCAAAAGCAGATACAAAATTAACACCAACAAATGTAATCCTTTACAAAAATCCTTTATTGAAATGTTGTTTCTTCCTTCAGAACATTATGCAACGGTTGCCTTGAATTTCATGGATATGGCTGCTCAGACGGAACTGCAGTTAGAGTGCAAAGGAGTTCCTGTCTCTCATGAAGACAGTACAAGACAATGTTGGAAGAAGCAGTATTTTGAAGAAATACATGTTTTACTGCAGCAATCCAAAGACAATATGGAATGATGACAGCACTGTAGTTTTGTTAGGGCATTACTTTTTATACTTGGTTAAATTTGTTTTTTTTAAAAAAAGTAATTTATTTGTGGGAAGAATAAAGACCCACTTCTATGATACTGTATATAATTTAAGGATTATTTATGGATTTTTAGTGAATGAGGTGGCGAGTAAGTCAGACTACGTTTATAAACAGCTTTACTTGGCGAAACTGATCTCTGTTCTGCTTGCCTGCAACTTAACTTCAGAGAGTAATAACGAGTCAGCCGCAGGGAAGCACTGCCATCATCGGTGGGTAAGCTACGTGAATCAAGAGAAAGCATTTTCAGTTCTTTAATAGTCAGCATATTGAGTGGCAAAATTAAATCCCTCTAGGAGATGGGGTTCCCATCAGAGGTGAACTGAAAGGGATTACAAAACTGCTGATACTTTAGATCTCTGAAGAAATGTGAGGGATATAGTTACAGCCTCTTTACATAATTCTTAAGGTCGCTCTGACTGCAGACTGAATTTGTCTCTAACTCTGTACACGCTTTGAGGGAAAGGTGATGAACAATGTCATGTAATTCGGGTTGCTATGACAGTCGCCACCGCTAAGGCTGCATGCACTGGACTCCTTACTTGACCTCAGTGTGAAATTTATTTTGGAAGAAGCAAACAATAGTAACGCTTTCCTTTTGCAATTCTGTAAGGCTTCCATTTAAATCATGTCTGGCTCTCTGCAATTCCCTAGCTCAAATTAAAGCAAGCAACTGTTTGTTTGAGAAATCTGACAGGAGTGTAGCTGGACTATTGAAAATAAAGCATTGTTACTTTCAGTTAAACCACACTGAGGTTAGGAAGGATAACTTAATTCTCAAATGCTTTATAAAAAGTGTATTTGAAGTATGCAATTTGAAACAAATTGACCAAAAAAGGGCAAGCTGCCTTTGGAAAACGTGGTTGGCTCAATAAAGTATGTGATTTTTACATGCAGTTTATTTTCTCCATTATCTGATACTGATGAGTCTGTATAGAAGTAAAGTCCCCTGTATTTTGTTTTTACAGGACACCAACATACATCAACCTTACCACATATAAACTTATGTCACCCAGAAGATAAAGATGTGCTGCTCTTCTCTACAGGCAAGGTTTTCCCTGAAAAGTTTGCGGTCAGTTAACCCTTTTGAACTTCGGTGAGGTTTGTTTTAGTGGCAAGAAGTAACACCTCACAGTGACAGGACAGATGTGCAGATTGGTCACCAAGTGTTGCATTTCAGGTAGAGAGTGGAGAACAGCCTCTTGAGGAATGTCAGGTTTTAGCTTGAAATTTATTAACCTTTTTTTTTGACAAATACTCAAGGACAGAGCACCTAACATTTTGAACAGAAGAGCAATGTAGAGTATTGGTTGAGGAAGGGGCAACCTTTAACTAAAAACAGAAACTCTAGGTTTGAGACAATGATCAGGCTAAGCACTTGTGTGTGTAGACGATCTCAGAGATTTTGTGACAGTTCAGTATCTGAGAGTAGGCTGTTCCATCTAATTACATGTTTCTTCAAACAGGGGATCCTACAGCCCTAGTACTTCTCTGGGAAGCACACCTCACCAGTTTTCCCTCCTGATGGAAAGACGCCTCCCATCTTAGGGTCACAAGTGCCCACTACTTGGGTGTTTTGCTAGTCTGAGTTCTCTTGACTCCTTCCCCTAGCAGGAGTATTCAGCTGCACCAACTGCCAATCATTAGTGTTAAAAAAGATGTGACTTACTTGTGTTTCCAGTGTTGTACCACTTGCTTCCAGGCATGGGACAGGAGCTCTCTGCAACTGCTGCTGGGAGGTCCAGGACTGCGCAGGGAGGAACAGCCCCAGCCAGCCCTCACTTCCTCTTTAAGGAAAGGGTAGTGAAAAGGAGATGACACGTCGTCTTTAGCCTTCTCTTGTTCCCTCGTGACTGCACAGCTGTAAGTTTGGTAATATGCACAAGCTTTCTGCAGCTAAAAACATGCAGTACCTACCTTTTCATCTGGCTTGTAGCATACGAAATGGGCTGTCAGCCATCACACCTGCAAACAGCCCTGCTTGACTGTCCTTGTAGGCTAAAAAAAAGGACATTTTAAATTTTTGCTTCATCAGCACTCCTGTACTCTTCCCGTTGTCACTCTGTGCGCTGGAACTTGGCTGATGTTCGTACTGTAATGCCAACCTGCCAGTTCAATTTCTGCACACAATTTTGGAATTGAGGAAAATGAAAGAGAAGTTCATGCTACTTGCAGCAGGTAGCCTTCAGGAGGATTTCTGGCACTATCAGCCACAGCATAAAGGGGACAATACAATTTTTATTGAGTGCTAAAATTTCTCATAGGCTCTCCAAGAGTTTAATAAAACCAAAGAATGTTAAACTACTTTTCATCCTCAGCCCTGGCCGAGATGGAGCAGAGTTAGGAATTACATATCCTTTAGTAACAGTATGATACAATAGTATTATATATAATAAAATTATAGCATTACAAATGTAGCTTGTTTTCTAAATAAGTCCCTGTGAAGAGTTCCCTATCCTAAAATTTTCCTAATATAACTGTCATGGGTTGGGCTGCTCCA